TTTTCAATATTGAAATTGAAGATTACCCAAGAGCTACCATTAACTTGTTTAATTGTTACGTTGGAATAATATTGCCATAATTTAGTCAATTGATTACAAAAAATTGCCTTTTTTTTTAATTGTCGCTAAGCAGACGTGGGTGACCGGTTCAAGATCGATGAGGTTTCGACATGGGTTACCAATTAAACATTACGAAAAGTATCGAAAGCTCGCCTCGAAGGTTGTAAATAAAAGATGATTTATTTGAAACGCTGCCCGTGCAGCCATAGCCATGGGGGTTTACTGCTTCGGAAGCAAATACATACCTGGTACCATTTATTTTTATTACTCGGGCGTACCCCATAAACATAAACATCGGGGCATATTACCGTAATACCGCAAAGAGGTACCGGTGGCTCACACATTAATTTATTTATTTGGAACTGCTAGTCTATTTATTATCTAATTACTGCCTTATAAGGACGCATATCTTCGGCGTTTCAACCTATTTAAGTTTTGTTAATGAGTACTTATTGTAGGTAGTGTGGGGTTTTGTGCTGTAAAAGCGTATGACCATCATTATGACAATGATACTTTGCATTTAAGTAATCACATCAGTATAAATCTACCTATTATTGACACATTGAATATATACCTCAAAAGAAAGAGAAAAAAATAACCAATAAATAAAAAGATTTATGTCCTGTGATGAAATATTGATACCGCTGTTCCTCAATATAAAAGTATTGAAGAAGCTGAACCATATTCAATACGTCTAAACGCATGATTTGTTTCCTTTAATGTACAGGTACCAGCAATAGCAGAAGTAATAACTAAAAGACAATAGATTTTGCATATTTCAAGTTAAGTTAGCCATAACAAAAAAGTACGTAGGGGGTTGAATACCTCACTTGCCTTAGATAAAATTGGACCTCTACGGCACTGGCAAAAATCTTAATATGACAATCAATTTTTATGATTTCCACGGCTAGCCCAGTCTTTATACCCCTTACCTTGAGGAAGTGCCTCTTCTTATCTCCTTGTAACATCTGAAATTCAAACTCTTAGTGCTTTGATTGATTGAACTCCAATAAATGCCCATATGACTTCAGTTGATTGAATACATTAAGTAAAACTAAAGGGATCAAATTCTAATTTCCTTTACATGTTCCTGCATATAAAAAGAAATACAAAAAATGTAATGGCTATTTCGTGATCACGTGTCCCTGCTAAATTTGATCCTGAGGGACGTGGTTGGAATCTTAACGGGTAAATTTCACGGGTGTTTTATAAAAAAAAAAGAGTTCACTTTCCTGGTACATTCTCCTGTTCAAAATACATACTTTGAATAGGAGATAACATTTTAAACTAACCAAAGGAATGGTATTACTGACAGTGGCGCAACCAAGGGGGGGGCCAAGGGTGCTCGTGCACCCCCCAGAGCATCAACGGAAAATAAAATAAGAAGGATAATTTGTTCAACTCCGATCTTTTTCTTTTATTAGGAGGCTTTGTTAATTAAAAACCTCCGATGAAATTTAATTATGCAGCCGATTGTTAAATTCGGTTAAATGACAAGCCTATATATAAATTAATATTTGCTTTTTTTGTTTTTAATTGTTAATTAGGAATGGGAATAAATCATGGAATAAAAATTAATTGACCTTGACGTATATTTAATCAAATGGGTTTTATTTTTTTCCCTATAAATAGGTGTAAGGTAGGTTAGTAGGTACTAATTTAAAACGATTCTTGACCTTCCGAGAAAAAATGTTTATGACAGGCAGGTTGAAATAATTTCAAAGCAAAGCAAATTTTACGCCGAATAGACAATACAGCCTACGGTTGTTTTTGCAGGTTCAGCAGGTACGTGACAAAATCTGCATTTGTACGTGGTACGTCTTAAAAGACAGCGCGGCATTTAATAAACAATGCAACTGTAGTAAAACTCGTACTGAATGACTTGTCAGATTTCCACCGAAGTGAGATTTTTCTCATTCTCATAGTTGCCTGATTGTCTCTTTCCGGCTACTTGACGTGTAAAAAAGACGTGAAAACAGTTTCAATTCAAGATTCAAGAAGTGCTACAAAATGAAAAGAAAAAGTACCACCCTTCTGAATTTTTTCGCACCAATTAAAAGGAATACCGCAGAGAATGAACATTCGCAAGAAACTGCCGTGATTTCGGAAAATGCTGTTGTTATTGAAGAAACCGATAATGCACCGAACGCAGATCACAACTTCCAAGAAAAAAATTCAATGGACATCTCATCGTTGATTAGTAGACGCTGAGAAAATAAATTTTTTACGAAACAGATGGATTCCTGATGACAACTTTGTATTTCCATATCGAACTTGTGGTGAACGCAGACGTAAATTTTGTTATTCTTGGTTGAAGAAATTCCCTTGGCTTAGTTATTCGCGCAAAGAAGATACCGTTTATTGTGTATATTGTGCCTTGTTTGCTCCCGAGAGTGTTGGAATTAATTCATCGCAGTCGGCTGGCAGTTTTGTGAAAAAAGGTTTCTGCAATTGGAAGAAAGCTCTGGAAAAATTCCAGCAACATTGTGGTTTAACATATCATGAACATTCCGTGGTAGCGGCTTTGAATTTTGAAAAAGTTATGAGTGGTAGCAGTAGCATGAAGGGAATTGATAAAGTTATTGACGTGGCGAGCGAAAATCAAGCGAAGAGAAATGCTGAGAAAATCAAGCCAATCGTGGAGAGTGTCCTTTTTTGTGGAAGACAAGGTATAGCTCTAAGAGGTCACCGCGATCATGGTGAGTTTGATTTGAATTGCGCGCCTGTTGAAAATGAAGGAAATTTGCGCGCACTGCTACGGTTACGTGTTCAAGCTAATGATAAAAACATCATTGAACATTTTCAAAACTGCGGAAAAAATGCAACCTATATTAGTTGGAAGATCCAAAATGAAATACTAGCGGCTTCACATCGTGTGATTAAGGAGAAAATAATCGCTGAAGTTAAAGATGCAAAGTTTTTTAGTATCTTAGCGGACGAAACTTCTGATGTCTCGACGATGGAGCAGTTTTCTCTCTGCTTGCGTTATCTGAAGCGAGATGCGGAAAGCAAGTATACAATATGTGAGAAGTTTTTAGAATTTGTTCCTGTTACTTCTACAACCGGCGAAGCTTTAGCAAATACAATTGAAACTGTGCTTCGAGAGAATAATCTAGACATTGAGAATCTGAGAGGGCAAGGCTATGATGGAGCTGCATCAATGAGTGGCAGTTTCAAAGGTACTCAAGCTAGGATCGCTGCGAAATTCCCGAAAGCTCTGTACGTACATTGTGCTTCCCACAGTCTCAATTTGGCACTGAGTAATTCATCGGGCATTAGACAAATTAAAAATTGTTTCGGCATAATCGAGAAGTTGGCGGTTTTTTTCAATACTCCGAAACGGGAAGCAGTATTAAAAAAACAGATTAACGCTCACGCTCCTGAGTCCACACGACAAAAATTGATGAAGCTGTGTGTTACAAGATGGGTCGAACGCCATGATTCTGTGATGGTAACCGGGGACTTACTAATACCAGCAGCAGCAGCGTTAGAAGAAATCGGTGAATGGGATGACCGGGATTCATCGTCGCAAGCTAACATTCTTCTCAACGCTATCAGACAGCCTGAGTTTCTGATCGCTTTATCAACTTCTGAAAAATTGCTTAGCTATACATTAATTTTGAGTAAGCAACTCCAAACAATTGATTCTGATTTAGTGTCTGTGATTGATCATGCCGAAAATGCTCTTGCGCAAATTCAATCATTGAGACAAAACGCAGAAGAAGATTTTCATGAAATATTTGAGGCCGCTAGTGAGAAAGCAGCCTTTCTGGGTACTGAGATAAAAATTCCAAGAAGAGTTGGAAAACAAGTTCATCGCGATAATACACCAGCGGGCGATGTAGAAGAATATTTCCGAAGAACTGTTTTCATACCCTTTGCAGAGAGTCTATCGGGTAGTATCGAACAGCGTCTAATGAAACATCAAGAAATATTGAAGAGTTTCGTTTGCCTTCTTCCCAAATATTATCAACAAGAGGTGGCGAAGTCCAAAACAAAACGTGAAATTGAAAAGGAGCTAGAAATAGGAATAAAAAAATTGGCTACTACATATGAAAGTGACGTTGGAGCAAGTAACATCCACGTCCTTACGAGCGAACTCAAATTATGGCATTCGAGTTTTAAAGGATCCGAAAATCTGCCACGGACTGCAGTTGATTGTCTGAATCAGTGTAAAGAGAGCGTATACCCGAATGTATGTACATTGTTGAAAATTTTTGCTACTCTACCAGTGACCACCTGTACTGCTGAACGCTCGTTTTCAACGCTACGTCGATTAAAGACTTACCTTCGTAACACGATGACTGAAATTCGACTGAATGGGCTAGCTAGTCTCAACATCCATCGTGAGATTCCTGTGAACTTCGCGGAAATTCTAGCTATTTTGAAAGAATCCCCAAGGAGACTTGAGTTTGTTATTTAGCTTAATAGACTGTAGAAATTAGATCTAGGTACATGAGAAGTCTTTATAATACGATTCTCGCAATAAGAAATTACTATAAGTATCTTTCTTTTTCTTTGTGCCCTCCCCAATCTCAATTCCTGGTTGCGCCACTGATTACTGAAATGAAATGCAATTTTCCAATCAATGAAACAAAATAATCCAAATTTCTTGCTTGGATCTGATCCTTATCAATAAAAGAAATACAACTGTTCTGTTCAAATAGTTTTCATAGGTCGATTCCTTCAGGAAAAATTAAAATTATTTCAAACAAAATCAGTATTCAAATTCCTAAAAACTTTACAGTTATTCACGTGGATAAAATTCTTTTCTGCTACGATTTGATCTTATCTCTCCTTGGAAAAGGTAGTTTTTCGTAAAAATATGGAAATATATCGTTCCAGTACCTCCTGCAGCGCCCCTGTACGTTATCTTTGTAATGAATGTCAATTCGCGACGCCTGCACTACTGCATTTTAACAGCTTGAATTTTGTTACAGAATCATGAAACCTTCGAAAGAAGTACGAAGAAAGCACAGCATTATTCTACGAGTAGCATATTACGTCATAATTTGGACCGTGTATATAATTTTGGTCACATCTGCGAAGAGGCTGCCCCCTAATGGCACTTGGATGTAAGTATTTTCAATTTTTATGGCGCTCGCCGTTGTTCTTACTCGACTAGAGCATCGGTAAACTATCGTAGAACACATAACTCTTATTTGACATTAATTAAAGCTTAAGCTTACTTTAATCGTGTACGCTCTCTCACCATAAATCTCGCCACAAAAGCACTCATTTTCTTTTAAAAGGTAAGCGCAACCTTTTATTTTGCGCAATGTTTGTTATTTCACGATAATAAATTAGTTCAGTTTAATACTAATTGAAATAGTTCTTTCCGCTACAGGTGGAAGACCGTCTCTTCCTCCTTTAGACTCGGCTAAGGCTCAGAATTGTTTCGCAACCAACTAGTAAATGGTGCAACGTTATTACAGTTCAAAATTCGATTGAGAAATAGAGATTCTCTATCTACTCAAGTTACTAATGTTCTTATCTAAAGCTAAACTATGCGATGGTATCTATGTATATACTATCTAATGTTAATATCTAGAATTATGTGACTGGTTATTTCTAATTGTGAAAGTTTAAATTATATTACGCCCTTCATTCTTTATTAAAAACTGCGAGCTTCATAGCGTTTCCCACGAAAGTTTGCCATGTAGAATAAGAATAAGATTCAATAGAAAATATAGGTTTCAATTTGAAAAAATTAAGTTGCCCTACACATGACCCTTGAGGGACAGTTATGTGAGCATCCTTAAATGGGTCCCTCTATATGAAGAATATTTTATATAAATAATTTTTTGATGTCCTCGCTAGTTTCCGTTATAATCGGCTATTTTAAGATAAATTTGGAGACCCTGTATACAAATTAAGTGATTAAGAAACTGGTAGTTGAAAAGTTTACAGCAACTCACAAAAGAAATGACCCTGTCCCTAATTCGTCTCGATTATGCGGGTGCAACCCCAGTAAATCATCCCCTCAAACTGAGTTTTCTGAGCAAAAATGCTTGCTTAAAAAGTACCGTATATTCCATGTCATGTTATACTCGAACAAAAACGAAATTTACTTCTATTAAATTAATAGTTCTAATTAGTTCGCGATAGTTGATAATTTTTTTATGACACTTAAAACATGTATTTTCGTTTCTTTTTAAATAAAAGTCCCTAGCGTCAAAACTAAGCGAATAATGACGAAAATAATGTTGGTATTTCGAGAATTTCTTTTTTTTCCATAATGTTCATAAATAGTAACTTGTTCAAACCCTTTTAGTTCAAATCCTATTAAAAATAAGGATAGAATGAAAGAAAATTTAATTCATATGATCTTATAAAGGTGTTGACAATGTTTTTTTGGTTTATATATAATGTGGTTTTTTTAAGGGTTAAAACTTACAAATAAATGATAAAAAGTTGAAATCGTAAAGAAAGATTAATTTATTTATATATTTTTTTTAATAATCCAAGCTGCTGGATAACATTTTGCAATAATATTTTTTAATTATTACAGAGGTAAGAGGTCATTTTTAGGGGTTGAAAATTTTCAATTCATCATAATTTATCTCGCAGAATGTCAATTTCTGTTTATTTAATTTATTTAAAAAAAAGGTTTCAATTACAAGCTTTATAATTATTTGCAGAGATAGTTTTCTCCCCTAATAAATACTAAGCCACCAACGGTGTAACGGAAGGTTACATTTCAGAGTGGACAAACCCCGAACGATTATGTTATTAAATTTCGACTATTTACGTAAAATGCCCAAAATTTATATTCCCGGCTAGATTACTTTAATTACTGATCCCGACACTCCAGATCGGGTCTTATGTAGAAACGTCGCAATCTGGCACAAACATCCCGATGAAATATTATGCACGGTGTCCATTATGGGGATCTCGTTTGCTGAAGAGATAGAGAGTTAGTTAAATGGGGACAAAGTTGCGAATTTTCGTGCCGAATAATAAAATCTGAAAAGAAATTAAAAATATCTATAGTAGTTTTGAAAATATCGCAAAAAACATTATTCAGACAGTTTTTAATTTTTCGGGAAGAGTGCTTTGAAAAAACAAAACGTTCTTTTATCGTGAACAAATGTTTGACAGTTTGATCCATCTGTCTCGTTGGAGCGTTGGCAGGGAACTAGTTGTGTTGAGATTTTCATCTGAATAGAATTGAACCTTTGTTTTGCAAGAAAATTATAATTCAAATTAGAACAAAATACTTAAGAATAAATAATATTTTCGCAATAAATCTAGCACAAACGTAAATTACACTACTTGAAATAAGTCAACCTTTTGTACACAACAAAAGAACGTTTTGTTTTTCCAAAGCACTCTTCGCAGAAAATGAAAATTGTAATTTTAGGAAAAATGTGTTACTGAACCATACCATGTGTGATATATCGTTGTAAAGAGAAAAAAAGACGTAATCTCAAAAAGTCAAAATCCAAAACGGCGCTCATAATAAAAATTAAAGTTGCCACGTGTTTCTCCGTCATCTTAAAAATTATTGAAAACGGGATGCCATAGTCGAAATCTCCATTAAAAAGTTTTATTGCTAAAATATTATTTATTCTTATGCATTTTGTTCTAATTTGAATTATAATTTTCTTGCAAAACGAAGGTTCAATTCTGTTCATATGAAAATCAAATTTTCTCAACACATCTAGTTCCCTGATGCCTACGCTGCAACCGGACATATGCATCAAACTTTTGTTCACAATAAAAGAACGTTTTGTTTTTCCAAAGCACTCTTCCCAAAAAATTAAAAATGGTATTTTAGGAAAAATGTGATACTGAACCACCATGTGTGATATATCGTCGTAAAGAGAAAAAAAAAAGATCTTAAAATTAAAAATGGAGCCCATAAGAAAAACTAAAGTTGCCACGTGTTTCTCTGTCATCTTAAAAGTTATTTAAAACGAGATGTCACATTCGAAATCTCCATTGCAAAGTGTTCGAATAATGTGTTAATTAGAAATGTCTAGAACGATTAGTTTACTATGAAAAAATTAAAAACGAAAATCAGAAATTTTCTTTTTTTTGCTATTGAAGATATTTTAAATTTCTTTTCAGATTATTATTCAACACGAAAATTCGCAACTTTGCCCTCATGTAACCAAATATCTATCTCTTAAGATGTGCCCATAGTGGCACTCGAAAAATGGACACCGTGTATACCCGTCATTTCGGGATGAGACTGTCCTGTAAAGATTCCTTGTTTCATGAGGAATCCAGTGAAATATGATTAATTTCATCTATATGATATGACCTTCCCAGATGAAGAGATGTGATTCGAATTGGTCGTTGCCTCTAAGGATTTTCTGCATGCATCAGTCACTCGTAGTAGCCATGTATTTTGGGAATTTCCGAGAAAAATTGCAAACTCGCGCTTTCCACATTATCAGCAGGACCCCCCATGTACAAAGAAACAGTCAGTTTGTTTAGGTTAGAAGTCCAATCTGTAAACCTTTTTTTATATAAAAATAGAACCTACTAAATTATTCCTATTAACATTACAAAATTGCATCCGAATTTAAGATGGCAAAAATAAAAGCAACAAAAGAAGCCCGGTAAAATTTAATGAAAGTAGATCATTTTAAGCGAAGGCCGTCTTGTTTATGTGAAACACGTTGACGAACAATGAGTGGTCAACTGAGATCGCGTGATGCGTCAGATAACGCGTAAATTAGAATTATCAGTTGCGGCGGGACCGTCTTTGTGGTAATATCGCGATTCGCGGATGTTAAATTAAACTATTATTGTGCCCAGTGATGTGGATTGCGGCCCAACCAAAAAAAAAGGTATAGAGATTTTGACTTTTTGAAAATTCTGACGAAATATTTGCTTTGATATTGTACCTAGTACAGCTGCATGCCAGGCCAAAACACCTAGAAAACAATTTGTGTATTTTAATTACTTTTGGATCTAATAACAAATTCAAAATGGGCAGTGGACCTGGATTTTTTGCAATAGGCAGCTTGTACCTTGAAAGTGTCAGAAAGCCTTCAAATTTCGTGATGTTAAGGGGAGCCACTCTCATTAATTATTTCCCGAGATCTCTTAATCGTAAATTACTAAAAGGTCTCATAGAAAGGAATTGATTTGTACCAACCATAACTGTCTTCTGCGATTCCGTTTCGAGATCAATGGGGGATGGAAATTGGTTTACCTTTCACGGTACTCAAATTAAAGGTCTCGACGAAAGAACAGTTTTCCGCCCTTCTCTCTTACTGCTTGATCTCCATGAAAGCAATTAATTTCTATCAACCATAGTTAATTATTTAATTTAATTAATCATTTTGCAAGAAGGTTACCTTATAACCCAACTAATATTTCGGTTTTAAAAAAATGCGCTCTGCACAATTTATACTTGTTTTGATCCTTGTATGGAGAGAAATAAGGGTGGAAATAATCATTCCTGACCCGGATAATACACAAGGGTATACTACTTTTTGGTGATCACAATTAGCGTTCGCCTTATTAAATGCAATTACAGATTATAGCTTTCATTATTGTTAACAAATACAAAGGAGTTAGGTATAGACATTCTATATACAATGGTATAGACAAGGCACCTTTCCTTTAAGCCCCACCGTTACTCACTGACTCGTAATTATGCAAAGGTGTTCTATATTAAGGGGGTTAACTCTCCCTTCTTTGAAACAAAACGAGACTTTTTAGCATGAACTTAAAGTGACTGACCCACGGTTAGCTCTTGATATAAATTTAAGGTCCTCAGGTACTTACTGAAAATTTCTCCTTTTTTATTTTTTTAAAAATTGACCTGGCTTGGATGACTTTAAGAAATTCATGTCAACCAAGTCACGGGTACAGGGCTCAAAAGAAAAGCAGTGAAACATAAAAAATTTTGAAAAATCTTGAATACGTTGAAAACAAAATAAACGTGTTATTAAGGTGTCCTCTATCCATTTCTATCAATTTCATGATCATACCTGGGGGGCTTATTAGCGCAACGTACCCACCTTTTATACTGGGTATGGGAAATATGGTATCAAACGACGTAGATTTTCATGTAGATTTCGAAAATGAAATACAGAGTGTTCCATTTAAAATAAGATAGTTAATCATGATAATACTTTCT